ACATGTGAAATCCTTTGTGGCAAAAGCGTGACATAACTTTCAACTTAATTTGAGGAACTGGAATTTTTATCAAATATTGCTTGAAATTAGCTTGCCATCAGTTGGAGCCAACATCGACATATGTACACACAGAAACAGAGAGCTTTTCACTCTGGTGGTATTTGTTGTTTGGGAATTTGATAGGTGTTGGCTGCCAAGGACATCTGTCTGCAGCTGCCAAACCCTCTTTGTCCATGGATGTGGGCAATAGTCTCATTATTAACAAGGACATTTTCACTCTACAGGAAGAGAAAGACAACTTTAAAAAATGATTTTTTTGGCCAGTTCTGTTATTCCTTTTTGGTTCTGTTGCGGAGGGGGAATGCTGAAGGAGAAATCACTGGCTGTCCTCTCACATCTGGGCTCACTGAGGAACTCAGCATGTACATTACCCTCAGAGAAGATGAAATAAATTTATAAACAAAACACCTCTCTTGTTGGAAATTCATTTAGATAAAATAAGAATCCAGGTATGATCCTTTACCTGAACCCCACACAAGTGGCAATTATATTACTTTGGCAGTTTAGATGGAGAAGCCTGGACCACATTATCTGCATCTTAAATTGAAAGGACCAAGGACAGCAGTCTTGGGTAATTCTTGGGTATAGCTCCTATCAACATAGCACTGTGTGATGAAGTCTGTCATACATGTTTCTGGGTGAGGGTAAAAATATGCTAACCTGCACTGTCCGTACCCAGCTTCTTTTGGTTGGTTTCTTTTGGTTTGGTTATACTCTTTTCTTCTCCAGAAACCAATGGAAGGTTTGGCTCCTCCTGGTTTGGTTTTACCTGAAACAAGAAAAGAATGAGCTTGAATCCTACTGAAGTGCTTTCCAACAACTCCTGCACAGTTGTAAAACAACAAAAAAAAAAATCAGGAAAAAAGTTCTTGATGCTGGGCATGTAACAATACCTTAAAAGATGGAAGTTATTTCAATGGAGATATTTCCAGGGATTTCTTAATGGAATTCTTTCCACCAAGAGATCCCTGGGGATCATTTTACCTATTGGAAGTGGTTCCCAGGTTTGGAGTTTCCAATCTCTGAATGACACACTACAGGGATCTCTCTAAAATACCCTGGAAACTACTGAACCACACTGGAAGGCCACGAATCTGAAAATGGGGTCGTTGGGGCTGACAATGATCATGCCCTTGGCCATAATGGGATTCTCAGATTTGCTTCATCAGACCTGTGAGCCAAATTCAAATCCTGTTTGGCTTCTTTTCAGGGAATTTAATGAAAGAATGAATTATCTCTTTCCAGATCAAAGAAAGAAAGAGAATTGGGGTTTTGTTGGTAAGAAAAGGAGAAAAAGCTGAAGGGTTCAGCCCTTACATTGGATGGGGTGAAGTTGGTTTAGTATAAATAAGGTTTTCTGATAATTAGAATACAGCTCTGGAAATGTCAGCATAGCACTGCACTGAACAGTGTATGGAATTTGCTTAGTGTAAGCCTTTATGGGATGCATGTAAAGACAAACATACAACTCTTTACACTCCCACTCAAAGTGCCTGTGCAAACAGACACAGCTCATAATAATTTATTTTTGAGCCAATGTGGTCAGATTGGCCTGGATTCAGGATCTCTTCATCGTTTACTTGCTGCGTGACCTTGGGCAAGTTATTCTCTGAATCACTGTGTCTACATCAATAAATAAGAGGCTAGGAAAAACCTCCTGTGGGACTTGCAGATCTAATAAATCCCAGAGCAGGGAGAAAGTGGTAGTAGTCCCTGTGTCGTAAATGATCTCAGATCTTTTCATATTTATCCACATGTCAGGGAAAGAGTCACAGGGAAGAAGTGGATGTCCTGGCCTTCTCAGAGGGTGATGCCCAGGCCTTTTCTCAACTAGGTTATACAGAAAGAAGAAACTTACAAGGATCACACTGTTTCCCTCAGCCAAACTTCCCCATCTCCCAGGTCTGTGGTGAGGTATTCAGGGGATAATGCATGCATGGGGTTTGGCACCTAGTAATTGGTCACCCCTTATTTGACACCAAACTAAGAAGATATTCTCAAGGCCACCAGAGGGCTTCCCTCTGCCCCCCTGCTCCTCCACCTGTTCTTTCAACTCATATTTTGTGTACTACCTAAAGTGAAATTGAGATGCCTAAGCTAGAGGCAAGATGGTGGGATGAAAAAAGTGCTTAGCTAGAAGTCAGAAGACTGGATTCTGGCCCTAGCGCTCCCACCACCTGGGTGTTTGACTTTGGGTAAGTATCTGAAATTATTTGTGCTTTAATGTCCTTCCCTGTAAAATGTTTATACTATACAATCTGTTAGTCTCTTTACCTCTGATTTACAGTCTCTTACTTTCAGACCAGAATCACTGGTGAATTCAGTTTTTGATAAAAGTGAATTTTGTAGCCAACTGACACATCCCTTTAAACACTGACATTTTTTAATCCTTAAATTTTTTTTTTTTTTTTGAGACGGAGTTTTGCTCGTTGCCCACACTATAGTGCAATGGTGCAATCTCAGCTCACTGCAACCTCCACCTCCCAGGTTCAAGCGATTCTCCTGCCTCAGCCTCCCAAGTAACTGGAATTACAGGCATGCACCACCACTCCTGGCTAATTTTGTATTTTTAGTAGAGACAGGGTTTCTCCATGTTGGTCAGGCCAGTCTCGAACTCCCCACCTCACATGATCAGCCCACCTCGGCCTCCCAAAGCGCTGGGATTGCAGGCATGAGCCATCATGCCCAACCCTAATTCTCAACCTTTACTGAAAGCCTTTTCTAAAAGCATTATTTCTCTATCTTTTTAATTAAACAGGGATCACAAAACATAATCTACTTTTTCTAGATGACTTGGACAAATAATGAAATGATCTATTACACTGGACTGTGATATAGCGTGGCCCTGAAGGACCTATTGAAGTGGGCAAGGTTCTTGAGCCCCTATATTAAATGGCCCCAGATTGTTTCTGTCATTCTCTCTGCTATCAGCTGTCGCTCTCTTTGCTGTCAGATCTGAGTCTAATCTGTGGCCATGTTTTTTACACAGTAGGTCTGCTTCCTAGAAAGTCATGTGACATCTATTTGGAGATCTTTGGAGGGGTTAACAACTAAGTTCTGGATGTTTAGAGTTGCTGAAAGATTGACCTCCAAATAAGTGGAATGGTGCTGCAATTTGTAACTCATGGATCTCATCTGATTAATAACTGAAAGAATCCTGATCTGGGGTAGCGTTGAATATTCTCTACAAATAGAGCTGAGTGAACTTTCACATGCTAAGCCAATAAGCAGTTTATGGGGGTTTAAATCATTCACTGTTTGTGCTTCCTTTTAGTCCCTTCTCTAATATAAAGTTCCACATGGATAGGAAACACACCCAATAGATGCAAGCTTGCTCACCCCCTGGGGTTGTCAAGCTTAGGGCAGTGCCCTTGACCTTGCCAATCTTACTTAGGGCATGGGTCTCCTACACCACACTATTTCCCTAGTAGTAGTTTGCAAAGATTGGAACTTATCTTTTCTTATACAGGAGTTTAGTCCCCTGTCTCTTGAATGACTTACAATCGCTTGAAGGTTCTCCTTCTTTTGTTTGCGGGGATTTAAAGCCATCTTGTGGCGAGCAGCTGAAGAATCCAAACAGCCCTCGGTGGTGGCTGGGGTGCTGAAACCAACGGGCAGCGGGGTGCTGCTGTCAGAGGCAAGTGTGGCAAATGCAGTCAAGGACTGTGAGCAGTCAGGTCCAGGTAATAGCTCAGAGAAGCTCTGGAGAAGGTGAGAGAAAATAGACGAGTCAACCATATGCTGTTACTGGTCTCAAAAGTTGGAAATTCTTCTGACTGAAGAATTCCTAAAGAAGAAATACTTCATGAACTATTGTCCCCTTTTCCTACATTTCCAGTCAATAGGCTTATTCATTATTAGTAAGCTCCATAATTTTACTGGTTTCCTTGCAGATAAAAACAGGAAACAGGAAGAAGTTTGGGTTACTCCCCTGCTTAGAAAGCTTTCAGGGGCACCCCACTGTCCTCGAGATAAGAACACAACCACTTAATTGAGTTTGCAAGATCAGAGGGATTGCATATTCTCTTGTCCTAGATCCCCTTCTTATCAACAGGACATCTGGCTGGGGTGAGAGGCACAATTGGTATCAGTGAAACCCAGCAGAGCTCTGGGATTTCTACATTGGAGGATTGGGTGGAGGGAGAAAAATCAGGTTGGAAGAGGGCCTGTCTGCAAGCTGCATTTTCATAGAGAGCACACTACCTTTTATGTATATTGACAGTTCATGGGTGCAAGACTGATGGGAGGACCCTCAGGAATTGAATGCTCCAACCTCCAGTGGGATAGGTATGGAGCCCGTAACCCTGTCCTCATTATGGCTGCCCTCCATATCGCCATACTATTTGGTTCTGGGACACTTAGTTGAATTCCTCTGTAGGACCTTCAAAACGGTCTCCTCTGGGCTTCTGGATATTATTTTCCATACCTCAAAGAGCCTCCCCAGAGCTCTTTCCATTTCTAAGAAGATTCCGATTCCTGTTAGCAGAAGACCCTTTGAAGATCAGCTAATAAACTGTCTCTGCTAGATACTAGTAGCAATTTATATAATGTAGCAAGTAGATAGAATTTCCATTTGTGTTTAACCACTACGTTCTCTTCAGACTAGTTTTGCACACTGCCAGGGATCCCATTGGTACTTGGAGCTTTCACATGTCTTCACGATTCCCACCACTGTTGTATGTTGATGCAGTGATAACTTTAGCTACTATCTTGGTTATGAAGAAGGCACTGTAATTCCAGTGTCTGGGGACTTAACACAGAGCTAATGGGTCAGGCAGATGACAAATCCTGCAGACCATTCTGCTTGGGATTCAGGGAGAAGACAGAGAAATAGTACAGTTGCCTTTTATAGGATCAATCAAAATTAAGATTAATCCAAAGATTTCTTTAACTTCTTTATGCAATTTTCATCCATGAATTTATATACTGCCTCTTCCTGATATTGTCTAGTTAGATTATGTTATCTACTGGAAAAATAAATTTAATATCAGTGTATAGAGTAAAAGCTCTTCTTTTATTGTTCTGAATGTCTTCCCTACTTCAGAGTAGTGTCAGAGTTCTGGTCTTTTAAGGCTGGAGGATAACACCTATGCTCCCGACAACCTCACATGATCTGTCTTCCTTTTGTCCCTGACCAAATTACCAGCCATTTCCTGCTGCAGACACACTGCTGGTCTGCTGTTCTTCAAGCACTTCAGGCATGTTCTGCCCTCAGGGCCATTGTGCCTGCTGTTCCCTCTGCTGGGCATGCTCTTTCCCCATGTTTGTGTGGCTAGCTCCCCTACTTCTTTCAGGTTTTGATTCAAAAGCCACCTTTTCATGGCCGGGTGTGGTGGCTCACACTTGTAATCTCAGCACTTTGGGAGGCTGAGGTACACAGAGCACCTGAGATCAGGAGTTTGAGACCAGCCTGGCCAGCATGGTGAAATTCTGTCTCTACAAAAAATATAAAAATTAGCCAGGTTTGGTGGCGAACACCCGTAATCCCAGCTACTCAGGAGGCTGAGACAGGAGAATCACTTGAACCTGGGAAGCAGAGGTCGCGGTGAGCCGAGATTGCCCCACTGCACTCCAGTCTGGGCAACAGAGCAAGAAACTGGAGTCTTGGCAAATATATTGGAACATTGACACTCTGCAGCTGGGAGGGCTCAGCTTCCAGAGGTCTTAGCTAACCTCCACCTTTTCAGTTATGTCTTCCATGGCCAATCTATTTAAAATGTCTTAGCCACTTCATATTCCCTTCCCTGCATTGTTTTTCTCCTTGTCACTTTTCTCAGTGTCTGACATATTATGCTTTCCTTATTTAGCTTGCTTATTGTCCATGCCCCCCATTACAATATAAACTTTATGAAGAAGATTTGTATCTGTTCTATGTATTACTGTATTGGGGATACAGTATCTCCAACTGTGCTTAGTACATAGTTGCTCAAAACATGTTTTTTTAAACTGGGGACTTGATTATGTGAAAGGCTTCCACCAGAAGTTGCCTTTTTGAGATGTTATCAGAGCAAGCTCCTCTGTTGCTTGTATCACTTTAGTTATTCTTTTTGAGGCCTCACTAGCTCCAGTCAAAGGTAGAAAGAGAAAGACAAGGAGATCTATGAATCAGAAAACCCTAAAAAAGCACCCTACAACTTGCTTTGCATGAAAGCCAACTTACAATGCCCACATGGCAAGTAGATACACATTTAATAAATATAAAAAATTTTCAATTCAGTTGGCATCCCAAACCTTGTGGTAGAAACACTACAGATAAAGCATTGTTTACTTTAGTGAAACTAATTATATAGCGTAACAGAAAAACCGGGCTCAGCAAAAATCTGGCAATTTCTAGATTGGATATGTGCAGGACAGTTTATCTGTTCCCAATCACAGCCTAAGCCAAGAGTCCATCAAACTTAATAGCAACCGCTGATCTCCCTGTGTTAGCTTGACTCTCACTAAGGAATCTGTATCTGTAGACATCAGTCTAAACACAGACCCACATCCATTCTCAAACTGGTGTTCAAAATTAAAGAGCAAAGCCATCAAGCATTCTCCTCATCTGACTATGGAGCTCAAGCTCAGACATGTGATTTAAAACACTCCGAAGAGGATCTCTGTTGTTAGGTTTAGAGTATGTTACGTGGATGTAGATTATGTGTATGTGTTATGATTTCTCTTAACTCACCAGTGAATTAAATGAATTATTTATACACTTTCTGGAAGTCTATGCAGTATTCCTCAATGTATGGTCTGGAATCCCCCAGTACCAAAATCACCTGGAATGAGTGTTGGAAAAGCACATTTTGGGGACATATCAAGACCTAATGAGTAAGAATATCAGAGGAAAGGCTTTAGAATAGCCTTAACAGGGTTTCCAAATGAGTCTTTCAGGAGCCAAAATTGAAAACCACTGCCTAGTCCTATAGCATGAAGAGAAAGGCTCCTATTTTCAAATATGACTACAGCAAGTCCGGAAATAATCCCAGCAGTTGCCTTAGAACAGGAGTCAGAAATATCTTTTGGGAAGTGTGGTTCCTTCTTAGGCCTTCTTAGGTCCTCGTTCCCTCAGCCCTAGTGGTTAACAGCAACCTAGAAAAGTTACCACAGGAGCCAACCACAGGATTTTATGAGTTACCCAGGAAAAGCAAATAGAATCCCTTCCTGGCAGAATTCTGAAAGAAAAATGAATGGAGAAAGTGGAACACCGTTCTTTACTTTTCCTTCCTTACTCCCCTCCAACGCTATTCCTCCTTTCATGCACTCTGATAGCCAACATACCAACATACCCTGTCTGAACCCAATATGCATATTATTTTTTCGTTTGTATAAATTTAAGGGGTATAAGTGTAGTTGGTTACACGGATATATTGCATAGAAGTGAAGTCTGAGCTTTTACTGTAACCATCACCCAAATAATATACATTGTACTCACGAAGTAATTTGACATCCCTCACCGTTCTCCCTCCTTCCCACCCTTTCAAATCTCTAATGCTTATTTTCCACACTCTATGTCCACTGTGTACACATTATTTAGCTCCCACTTTTAAGGGAGAACATGTGGCCAATTATGCATATTATTAAGTAAGGCTGAGATGTTTCCATTTCGTCTCCTGTGTTTTAGAGGGAGTTTAGCACAGACATCTTTAGATTAATATCTGGAATTAATGGGCTCCTCGTGCCTCAACAACTGGAAGATGTGCCTGGCTAGGTACCTATTAATCCAGAATCTTCTTAGAGAAGGAACCTGGGTTGGACCTTGGGCCAGGGAAAAGGATTCTTCAGCACTGGTTGGTAGGGAGCTGGATACTCTTTTGCTGTTAGGTGGGATAAGGGCAGCTCTTTGGAAAATAAAAACACATTTTCACTTCTTTTTTCCCTTCTGTCAAGTTTCTAGACCCAGCGCAAAGCAGTTTAGTCAATAATGCACATTTTGGTAGTACTTTTAATGATTTCTTTTTCTGTTGTATGATGCTAGGGTTTTCTCCTTTTGAGCAGGGATAAAGAGCAGTTTGACTGTCTTCTTGGAACAAATGAAAGCTCTGATTGTAATGGCTTAAATAAGAGGATTACCAGTGGGCTGTTTAGGTCCAGGTTTCATCAAGCATTTGATCCATAAAGCTGTCACTCCGGGAAAAACATACACTCTGAGACTGACACTGGGATGCTGGGGAGCTGGGTTCTATGTGAGTCAAAAGCAAAAAGCAAGTCGTCTTTGGAATATCTCCACAAGAAGCAACTTTTGGTGGAAAAAGTGGTTCTTGGTGGGAGACTTCTGCACCAAGAGGTACTGGCACAGAGTGAGACCCAATAATGGCTAAGATTTTAATTCCCTGGGTGTGGCAAAGTGGCTTCTGTGCCCATTCCTGACATTTCCTGCACAGTTGCTGTTTAACTCAAAATCTCTGTTACTTAAAAGCTGTTATGGTCAATATTTTTGCCAACTTGAAAGTTCTTGGAGGTGGAATTTCTGATATTCCCTGCATCCCCCTTCTATCACAATCTCTTCAATTTCTTGAATGAGAGCCTTTCTCTTCATTTCTAGTATAGAGAATAAGAACATGGACTTTGAAACCAAACAGGCCTGAATATGACATCCTAGCTATACCATTTATTGGCTGTCTGACCTTGAGCAAGTTCCCTAACCCTTTTGAGCCACAGCTTTCATGTCTGTAAAATGGGAATAATCATAATACATACTTTGGTTCATTGCTGTAAAGATTAAATAAAATGATACATGGAAAGTGCTTAACACAGTGCCTGTTACATAAGAAAGTCTTGATAAATGTTAGCTGCTGTTGCTATTGCTGAGCATTGGTTATACAAAGTTAGAGGACTACTAGAAGCCACGCAGTTCAGTGAAAGTGCTATAGATTTGATCAGGAGTCCTGGGATTAAGCCCCAGCTCTATCTTGGATTGGCTCTGTGGCTTTGGCCAAGTCACTTCACTGCTCTGAACCTCAACTATTTTCATCTATAATGGGAATCTTTCCTAGCTGCTTTACAGAGTTATTGAGAGAATCAAATGTAACTATATACGGAAAATCACTTTGAAAGTTGTACATTTGTATACAATCATGGGGAGGGAGCATATGTTCTCCCTTGATGTATGAGAAGATTTTAAAATTAAAATTTTATTTTATTTTAGAGACAGAGTCTCACTACATTGCCCAGGTGGAAGTATGGTGGCTACACACAGGCATGATCATGGTGCACTACAGCCTCGAGTTCCTAACCTCAAGTGATCCTCCTGCCTCAGCCCCCAAGTAGCTGGGACTACAGGCTTATGCAGCAGAGGATTGCTTTAAAAAAATTGTTCTGGGCTTTTGAGACTTATTTGTATTCCATGCTGGGGAATTATGGAGTAGCCACCCAGCTAAAGCATGAGATATTATAAAAAGAGGCAAACTTGCAGCACTCTAAATTAACTATTTGTTAGCCAATTCAATGGAATAACTTAACCCCCAATATGTTAAATACCAGCATTTATCCTGCAATGTGACTGAGGCCAGGGAATTTAATCAGCTCAAACTTTAAGCTTTAAGAATTTTACCCTGACAATGTATATTGATAGCTTATCTTCACAGATGTGGGACAAAGGACAAAACTCAAACTCATCCCTCTGCTCACCTGAGACAAATGCATATTTGATTGCTTCCACTGATGTAAAAATGCAGATTCACTGAGGAAGATGAAGGCATAAGTGACTATTCCTCTATCCCCTCTCACATGTAAATTGTGTATTGAGTGAAAGGCTGATCAAAAACTCAAAAAAATGCAACCATTTGTCTCTTATCTTCTCACACCTTTTAAAAATGTGTTCCTCTTTCCCCAGTATCCACCTTTTCCCCTTTAAATATTGAAGCCCTCAAAATCATCTTTGGAGAAAGGCACAGACCTGTCTCCCAGGTGTGCATCCTTAACCTTGGCAAAATAAAATTTCCAAATTGATTCTGAC